GCTGGAATGTCTGGTATGCAATTCTAAACTTTTGAATAGATTTTTATTTATTTTTGTTGGGTTTTGTTTGATGGATTTGAATGGGTTGGGTTGGCAGTGGCCCGATTCGACTTCTCGTGGGGCAACCGGGAATATCACCAGGAGACTCTGGAGAATCTCAAGGCCGCTGTTAAGAGTACTAAGAAGCTTTGCGCTGTATGTTTGTCTAATTTTTAAAGGAATTTTGATTTGTTGAATTCTTTTGCTTGTCCGTTTGTATGCTAATTGACATGCATGCATGCCTTTGATTTTCAGTTGTAAACAGTTTAATAAATGAAATCTGAGATTCAAGGCATTCATTTTTTTGTCTATATATCTTTGTTTTCCACCGAAACCCGATTTCGGGTAATCTTTTGCTTGTTTAGTTATTGATTTTTGGACTATTTGAGTGTTCCTCAAGTGTATTTTGGACATCATTTTTTGAAACAAATGGAAAAATTGCGTATGAAATGCTAGCGGGACAAATCTTCGTTGTTTAACGTCTGAGTTTGCCATTAAAATGTTTTTTTGGACAGCCATTTTTTGAAACAAATGGAAAAATTGCGTATGAAATGCTAGCGGGACAAATCTTTGTTGTTTAACGTCTGAGATTGCCATCAAAATGTTTACTAACTGTATTTTTAACAACTATGATTTTCTCCTTTTTGTGGGATGAGTAAAAGAAGAATAAGGAACTGACTGCATGCTAATGTTTGTCTATTTTTCAGGTTATGTTGGACACTGTGGGTCCTGAGTTGCAAGTCGCCAACAAAACTGGGAATCCTATTGCACTCCTCGGAGATGGACTCGTTGTTCTGACGCCAGATCGCGGACAAGAACCATCCTCAGAGCTGTTGCCCATCAACTTCGATGGATTGGCAAAGGTTTGCCAGCACCTATCATTTTATCAGGGCATGCATGACTTGGTTGAATATATAGACAAAATTTGATGGATAGGTTGAAAACCTAGTCAATGATAGGTTTAGGTCGTTTACTACTTATAATGCTGAAATCCTGTGGAGACATCCATAGCTTTAGACATTGCGTTTCACCAATAATGTGAGCTTGTAGTAACAATGACTAAAATTGATGAACTTAAACCTTGATTATGGGCTCATTGATGGCCCATGGTTTGGAGAACATTTCCCACTACCGTTTTCTCTTTCTTGTACAATCCCAGTAGATTTCTATTCAGCTGGTAATGCTTGAAATTATGGATCTCCTACGACAATAAGTAATTTGAGTGGCACCATCACAGTTTGAATTACGTGTTCATCATATGTGGAAAAAAGTACCAGTGACCTACTTGTTCTCATGGTGACAGCAGAGATATGCAGCTGCAACTTGTCCAATTATGTTTATGAGTTGAATACTGCAAGTTTCTGTTATTATATTGTTTTAGCTTATGTTATTTATTCATTTTTTTGTAGTCCAGACTGAGATAAAATCTCCATAATATCACAAGTAAATCTTTAAATTGTTTTTGCAGGCGGTGAAGACGGGAGATACCATTTTTGTTGGTCAGTACCTGTTCACGGGAAGTGAAACGACTTCTGTATGGTTGGAGGTAAAACAAATATAATTGAAGAACTTCCCTGAAGTTCCTACCCCTTAAACTGAAAGTTTCCACTGAAGAAAATCTTCACTATGGTCCAATTTTTCTGAGTCAATTAGTATATGGAGAAAACGAAAAGAACTTTACATAATCATGACGGGAAGTTCAGAGGTCATGCATGGCTGATAAGTTTTATTTTCAATTGATCAGGTTTCTGAAATAAAAGGAGAAGATGTCGTTTGTTCCGTAAAGAATTCTGCAACATTGGCAGGTTCATTGTTCACTTTGCATGCATCTCAAATTCACATTGACCTGCCTACTCTCTCCGATCAAGATAATGAGGTAAGTTATCTGAACTTGCTGCACTGACTACTTTTAATAGGTTTATACAGAACGAATCAAGTCTCTATTAGTACATTTTGGATTGATGCCTTTACCGATTTATTGAGTGCTTGAATTCAATGCTTAATTCAGGTTATAAGTAGTTGGGGACTTCAAAACAAAATCGACTTCCTATCATTGTCATATACGAGGCATGCAGAAGATGTCCGCCACGTAAGTGTTATTCTATGTTCCATGTCCTTGTATCAAGTCTCAACATCCGAATACTTTATATCATTTCGTCATTTTTGAAGTTGGTTGTGTGAATAACTGGAGTATTGTTAATGGTGTAATGTAGGCTCGTAAGTTCCTTAATAAGCTGGGTGACCTCGGTCAGACACAAATTTTTGCTAAGATTGAGAATATGGAGGTGAGATTCATCTGTTTTCAGTTCAGAATCTCAACTTTCTATGACAGTGCTGAGTAATGAATATTTATGTTTTTTTGTTTGTTTATATGCATTAGGGTTTAACCCATTTTGATGAGATTCTGCAAGAAGCTGATGGCATCATCCTATCCCGTGGGAACCTGGGCATTGATCTCCCACCAGAGAAGGTCATTTTTCTGAACTTTGAAGTTAGAAAATGTCACATTATTTATTTGTTTTAGAAGTGAATAAACTTTTTTTTTCTTCTACAGGTCTTTTTATTTCAAAAGGCTGCCCTTTACAAGTGTAACATGGCTGGAAAGCCTGCTGTGGTTACTCGTGTTGTCGATAGTATGACTGACAACTTGAGGCCAACCCGTGCTGAAGCAACGGATGTTGCAAATGCTGTATTGGATGGTGCGTCCCTTTTTGACTCAACCTGTGCTTTAGAGACTACTTGTTAAGGCCCATTGAATGGGTTACCTTATTATCTGGTTGCATCTTCTATTTTCTTAGATATTCTCTTGTATTGTTTGTTACTGTTTGCCATTGTTTGCAAGTGTTCTGTTGACTGGAAAAATTTGTTCTTTGTTTCCCAACTTAATTGTCTTGTGGGTGCAGGAAGTGATGCAATTCTTCTGGGTGCTGAGACTCTTCGTGGTTTGTACCCTGTTGATACAATCTCCACTGTTGGTAGAATTTGTGCTGAGGTAATCTTTCACTTGTAATTTTATTCATTCTTTGTTTAGTAACTTTTTATATCAATGCTTATCATTTTAGTATTGAGGGCGATTACCTGCTGGACATGTCATTAAATTGGCTTATCGCAAATGCTCTAAGTATCAAAACCACATTTTACATTTCGTTTGCTGTACAAGGATAGTCTTTCCTAATTTTAATCCGTGCAGGCAGAGAAGGTTTTCAACCAAGACTTGTATTTTAAGAGGACTGTCAAATATGTTGGAGAGCCAATGACACACTTGGAATCTATTGCGTCCTCCGCGGTATGATGTTAATACGTTGCTATTTTACGTTGCTTCCTGTTGTAGTTAGCATTCTGGTTGAAATTATTGCACGATTTTGTTTGGTACTTGAATTGCCAATGTCATCACTGTCCAGGTACGAGCAGCGATTAAGGTGAAGGCATCTGTTATTATTTGCTTCACTTCTTCAGGAAGGGCTGCGAGGTGTGTATTTGGTATCCTTGGAAATGCAAAGTTATCTGTTTGTAATTAATTTATTCTGATGGGCCAATTTGGCATCAATAAGACGATCAATTTATGCTTCTTTTTATGGGCGAATGTCCTCAATTTTTACAAGTCATTATATTCTGCAGATTGATTGCAAAGTATCGACCCACAATGCCAGTTCTTTCAGTTGTCGTTCCCCGGCTCAAGACAAATCAGCTTAAGTGGAGCTTTACTGGAGCCTTTGAGGTGTGCCCTTGACTCCGAGTCGTTGATTAACTTCTAGCTCAATTACTGTAGTGAAGTTTATAACAATTCATGCTAATTTCTGGTTCTTTTTCCTAAACTTATTTGGAAGTGCATTTACATATGCAAAGTTTGATGGATAGAAGATTGTTATCCGTTTTTGTGAGATTGAAATGTCTTGATGCTATGCAAAAGTTCAAGAAAAATAAGGATGTGTACCAGTTTAATCACGACGTTGCTAAACTTGAGTCATAAAAAGCTTTTAAATCTAATACAGAATTTAAACTTCATGTCAAAATCCAGGTGTATACTTCAGTTATCTCGTTGTGAATTAACTCTATTATGCTTATGGGAACGCCATTGTTAAGAATTCAATAAATTGTAGCTGTAATATGGCTAATTAATATCGCGCATGATCAGATTTAGTCCTAATACTTGGTTCTTGTATTGTTTGTTCTCTTGTCGTTTTAATCTGTAACGTATTTTTCTAACTTCGTTTTATCAACAACATACCAATTTGCAGGCAAGGCAATCGCTTTTAGTCAGGGGTCTGTACCCTATGCTTGCTGATCCTCGACATCCTGTAAGTGTCTTGTGGAGGTCGAATGTAAATTTGAGGTGCACGTAACCTTCGATCGATCATCTTTCACTCAATTTGTTGTCCCGTCTATGATTTTGCAGGCCGAATCTACCAGTGCAACAAACGAGTCAGTTCTGAAGGTTGCCCTTGATCATGGAAAGGCATCCGGAGTGGTGAAGTCACATGATCGAGTAGTCGTTTGCCAGAAAGTTGGTGATACCTCCGTGGTCAAGATTATAGAGCTTGAAGATTAGAATTCCTGTTTACCCTCGTTTTGAAGCACAATTTCCTCTCTTTTTCTTTTCTCGTCGGGAAATGGACGATATGGGAGACGAATCCCATATCGCCGGCGAGGTTTATATCCCGCCGGTTTTGGTTTTGGAGGCTTGGTAGTTGTTTAGACTTTGTACAAAAGGATTATACACCGATGCACACCCCATCCCATTTTGTCAAAGTCGATCAAGTCTACAATAAAGACGGTTTTTTGTTTGTGATATTTGTTTCGTTAATTTCAACCGAGAGATTGCTTAAATTGAATGTTTCAACCGTGACACAAGGGCTGATGTATTGGTTCTAAAAGACGTTAGGTTTTAGTTGGGCAGCAGGTTGGAGCCTAGCAGCCAAGGAGGGGCCTATGGACTAATCAAGGAAGGCAGTAGTCAGCGCTTAGACGAAATTTTGCTGCATCCTTTCCTTTGGCTGCTTATCGAAAATGCCTGAGGCGTCGCCTATATAATAAATGTATCATCGCCACACATTCCCTTTGGTACAAACAAGTAAATCGCCCTGTATCCAAAATGCACGAGAAACACTTTAAAACACAAGTGGGAATGTCATCTTTCTCATCTCAACCTATATATAACTTACAACTTACAACTACCCCGTCAGCGAAGATGGAGGATCGCTTCTCTTGTTTGAAGAATTCTGTTGCTGCTGCTGCTGCTGCTGCTGATGAAGCTCCAGCTCCTTGCGGCGCACGAGCAACAGCATCCTCTCGTTCTCCAGCCGCCTTCTCTCGTTCTCAAGCTTGGCTCTCTCCATATCCCTTTCCTTCTTCCCACTGTACTTGATCCACTTTAGCCTCTGCTTCTCCAGCTCGAAAGCTTGGTATTGGTAGCTCACTTGCTGTTCCTCCAATTGTATCAGCCTTGTTTTCAACCACTGCTGCTTCTCCCACGGGGTCTTTGTCACATCTTGCATCACAACCCTCATCTCGCAGCTCAATTGCTGCATTAATTGGCTCGATGAGGAGGACCCCGCACTGCACCCTTCCTTTCTTGCCATTTTCCGCGGCGCTCTTTCATCATTGTTGTCATCCTCATCTTCGTGATTTCCATGCCCAATTTGACCTCTACACCCACCTCCAACCACCTCGTCTTCCTCTTCATCATCTTCGTCCTCAGATTCATCCTCCTCCTCGTCTTCATCTTCGTCCTCGCCGCCACTTCCTCCGACAACCATTTTGGATCCCTCAGTCTCTGACCTTCCTGAATTGGCAACCGCTTGGGCATTTTCTGATGAATGAAAGCAACTCTGCTGCTGCTGCGCTGGAATCTCAGACGGCTCTGTGGCCGCCTCCGGCGGGGAGTTATGCGCACCATTCGACGCGCCACCAACAGTTCCATGACCACAACTGTTATGATAAGCACACATTTCTCTGAAAAACAGGTGCTTCGAATTCAACAATTTACGAACTTCTTCCTTCATCTTTGGTGCCAAATCCATCTTTTCCAACAAGCCCTGATTCTCCACAACCCGGCAGGCCGTCCCCTTTCCAAGAATATCATTGACCCTCTTATACCTCTTGTTCAAGTCATTGAACTTATCCTCACACTGTTGAGGAGACACATAGAAACCCTTCTCCATCATAGCCCGGGACACCGATTTCCACTTCCCTTTCTTCTGCAGCAATCCACCAGCAGGCTTCTTCTTGCCCGTAGGATCAGGGCCATCGGACGCCTCGTCACCAATGTAAAACACAGCCATGATCAGAAGCCTCACCATGGTGTCGGTCCACTTCATTCTCTGCCACGGCGATATCTTCCTCTTGTCATCGGCACCGAAACCGGGTTCGTCATCGTCACTCAGGGCAATCTGCTTGGATTTGGGGGCAAATGGGTAGCCCTGTTTCACAGATTGGTGAGGGTTTTGGTGGGGGTCAGGGTCATGGTGGGGGGCATAGGGAACCATTTGGGGTTGGTGCATAGGGTTGTGAGGGTTTTGGGGATTTGGGGGGTTTTGGGGATTTTGGTGCAAAGGCATTTCCAGGCCAAGCATTCCAGAAAACAGCCCATTTGCTTCCATTCCAAAATCTAATAAACTGCTCTTATTCTACCAATTTCCCAAAAGATTAAAACTTTGTGACGAAAACCAAGAACCCAGTTGAAACAAATGTTCTAATCTAATTTCCCCACTAAATATATCTTTCAATCCAATCGATTTTATAAGGAGAAAACTCATGCGCTGAACAAAACCCAGAGCAAAAAATATAAAATAAAAATACCCAATAATTGAAACCAAATAACTGCCAAAAAGTACCAGAATCTGAGAGATTGGAACCGACTTGTTACATCAACATGTCCAGGGGCACATCCACGGATGGAAAGGAATGAGAGCAATTGGTCAGCTTTTGCAGAAATGTGTGGCAGAAGCAGAAGATAACGTAGAGAGAGAAGTGAGAGGAGAGAGAGAGAGGTTTGGTGGTGGTGGTGGTGGTGGTGGAGGAATAGATTGTGTGACATATTCAATGGAGAAGCGGTATGAGCTATATACAGAGAGCGGAGCAGCCGGTTTTAGGTTGGCAGGTTTTGTATGTGCAGAAGACAGCGGAAAACTGCCCATGGTTTTGCCTGCCTCTGCTTTGGAATGGAAAACCCACAGGTTTCTTTTCTTTTATCAATCTTATTAAGATGAGAGAGAGAGAGAGAGAGAGAGAGAGAGAGAGAGAGAGAGAGTAAGTGAATTACGTTTGTGCTGTGTATGGGTTAATTTGATATGGGCATGCCACGTACATTAGGTTGGTATTTTACTTTATTTTGATGTTGCAATAAATTAGTAGCCTAGTTAGTGAATATGCTTGTCTTGTGCAACTTTTAAAAGGTGCCAGGCGGTAGTAGATACGGAAGGATTCTAGCGTCTAAGCGGCATTTAGGTAAAGTTTAGGAGGAGTTTATGTGGTTTTTTAATTTTAATTAAATTTATTATATAACATATAAATAAGTGTTTATTTATCTTTATAAAATACATAATTGTGTTGAGATATATAAATTGTAAAATAAAATGACATATAAATTATAAAGTATTATAACATATTGAAAACATGAGTACCAAACATATCAAACATATAATGAGTGTTCATTCAAGTATTCAACAAGTTTCTTACAGTTTATTGTAAAAATAAAATGAAAAATAAATTTTTTTTTTTTGTTTAAGTGGGAGTTGCAACCTAGACGAGTACTTAATTAGATTAGCCGGGTCTAGGCGTCCTTCCGTAATTTTCAAATGCCTAAGGATTAATCGGGGTGGTGGCCAGCCGCCTAGCCCTATGCGAGGATTTTCGGGATAGTGGCAATGTGGCAATCTAAATAAATAGTACCAAAACATAATACAACTGCCAAATTTCCAATATTATCTTTTAATTTTCAAATAATACCGTCTAACGGTGGTTTATTAGAAAGAAGTTTATCTTGTAACTGAATGTATATTCTTTTGACATTTTTTTTCTTACACGTATTTTCACGTAATAAGAAAGTCGCAAAAAATATTCAATCAAAATAGGTAAAAGTCTCTCTTTATAAAGGACCAAATAAATCTTGTTTTGGCCAATACAACCAACATTGGTTCTCGCTCTATCTGTCACTTTTGATTCGGTGTTTGAAGCTCCAAGGGCATGGAAGCTATTAGATAGTGTCCGCCACTACAAAGCTATGCGTCTCTTTGAGATGCCAAGAGGATGTCGAGTCGTGGCACAATTTTGTCGTTTCAATTTGATAGTATATTTTAATTTCTAAAAATTTACTAGGAGTTTGCTTGTTTGGTTTCTTTTTTTTTTATAGGAAATTTTGTGCAAGTACCATTTGAACTTAAAAACATGTGCGTTAATACTACTTGAACTTTTAATTGTAGTTTTTTACCACCTGAACTCTCTTGGTTGTTGGAATCTACCACCTACCTTTACTTTCCATCCATCTTGCCGTTAAAACTTGTCACTTGAGAGGGTATTTTCGTCAATTAACTTCATAGGGCTGGTTAGAATAAAATAGCTCCTAAATAAAACTGTCTATGTCAATATGACACCAAAATTGGACGCATAAATACATATTGCAATTACAAATTGCAAAGCTACAAAAAGGAACTGAAATAAATTGCAAATACATATTGCAATCGCCTTCATTCTAACGTCTAATAAATTTAATAGAAAAGGAACTCAAATAACAACGAAATTCATGCCTTCACTTTAACCCCAAATGAAAAAATCACAATAAACCCAACAAATTTGTTAATTTGACAAACCAAGTTATTAAACTAAACCCTAACTATAAATCAAAAAAAGATTTCATAATTACCATAATTTGGGGGCTTCTCTAGCAAATATGAACTGATTATCCTCCATCCCTCTTTACTTGATGCCAACATAGATGCCACCAATTAATTTTTTCTTCAATTCTTCAACAATCCTAGAAAAAATCAAACATAGTTGTTTTCCTTTCTCTCCATGAAACCCTTCGTATCCTGCCACAACAAAGACCCTCCCTCCGGATGTTGGTTTATCAGTTTCTTTCATATAAAGTGATTTGAGGAAATTTAGAAAGTTCATTGATAAAAATGCCCCCACAAGTGATATGTTTTAATAGCAAAATGGATGGAAAGTAACGGTAGGTGGTAAATTCCAACAATTGATAAAGTTTAGGTGGTAAAAATACAAAATTGAAAGTTTAGATGGTATTTGCTCACATGCTTTCAAGTTCAGGTGGTACTTGTGCAAAATTCCCTTTTCTTTAATAGAGTTCTTTCTTTTATTTTTCATATTGGTGTTGTAACGTCCCTCCCCAAATATTTGCTTTATTTCGGGAAATAATAATATTAGTGATAGGCCCAAACTAAAACTCTTGTTTAGTTTGTTACCATTTTTCCAATTCACTTCTAAATCTCCAAACACCTCACACTAATTTAAAAAAAACAATATTTAATTCCCAAAAGCATAAGATTAAATCTCTATTTATGCATCAAATTCCTTTACTTAATTCCATTCTTGACCTTACTTAGCTCAATTTCTCAAACAAAGATTTTATCTCAATTATTTAAACTACCAATTTATAGTGATTCTCTAATCACTGACCTTGAATCCAGCCATACTAAATACGTATAATTTCTTCTCATACCAAAAGTATGATTTCATTCCCAATATATCACCTTTCTCTTTCATAGGTCAATTTCCATCAGAATCATGGTTAAACTTATTTTCGTGAATCAAATTTCATCACTCCAAATGATTTAATTCTTACTAAATTATCCATGTTGTTAATTACCAAAACACTCAATTAAATTATCAATTTATTTCCCCAAATTCTTCTATCAAACAACCTCTAAACAAAAGATTAATTCTCGAATATTTAAAGCTGCATCTAACGTTGTTAGATTGCCTACGTACCCTTTAGTGGGATCAAGCATTTCGTAGTTCACAAATTCAAATTTAACCTAATTACAAAATTCAAACAAGTAACCATAAATCAACATCTATCTCCAAACAAGCGAATCACTTCCAATGCTTATCAAACTTGATTTCACAACATCAAAATTAACTTTAAAATATGGCGTCGGCTCACTGGCCATGCGCCGTCGCCAGTAGCGGTTGACAGCCCCGAATCGCCGGAAAATATCAACTATTTTTAAAAATTACCAATTATACAGAAATATAGATTTCAATGAGTGGTGAAACTTTCATACCTGTGACCAAGACCAATTTGGCTTGAAAAAGCCTCAATTCACCTCCAACCTGCCGAAACCCTATAATTTGGGTGTCCTCGATTCGACTCCATAGCAACTCTGACACCCCCAAACTTGTTTGGGCCTTGTTCCTGGCTTCCAAAGGATTGTTTTGGTAGTGGAAATTTGAGGATTTTGTTTCAGGATTTGAAGGATTTACGCCGTGAACCCGAAGTGCCGCCTTCGGGTTTTCACCATTTTCTCACCTAATTTCTTCTAATTTTAGCTGAAAATGGAAGAGGGAGGGTCACTAATTCAAGTTTAGGTGGTGGCAACATTCAATTCACTAGAGTTGGAGAACCCCTCAATCTCGTTGGGTTGGGTTGCGGTCAAGAAGGGGGTCTGATCCCCTCCTTCTCTACTCCCTCTTTTCCCCTCATTTTCTCCTTTCCTCATTGGCCATCCCCCTCTAGATTCCTTCTCCCTTTTCTCCTTTCTATTCTTTTCTTTTAATCACAGCCATCCATCATTTATTTTTCCTTTCATCACAGCCACACATGTGGCACAACTCATTGCTCCAGATTTTCTGGAGCCTTCTAAATGAAAATAAAATTACCATAATATCCTTGACTTTAAACGTTAATAACTTCTTTGTTATAACTCTGTTTCACGAACAGTTTGCGCCTACGCGTTTGTGAAATTGAGCTTTATTCAAAAATATAAATTGTGACCTTGAAAGGTCTACAAATTTTAAATAGTTAATTTCCAAACTTTAAACCTCGTAACTAGTTTAATTTAAAACTAAACTCACATAAATTATTATAATTCTCGAGAAATCATATAAAAGCTCAATAATACAAATATGTAGATTATTATAATTTCCAGAAACAAAAGTTTAGAAGTTCTCGATTAAATTCTTCATAATCATAAATCGATTTATTTTCAATTTTTCCCACATATCCCTAATTATGAATATATAATTCATATATTTAATTTTTCAGGGTATTACAGGTGTGCCAAATCTCTTCTAGTTTGATGATAAAATTTCAGGGACCAAATTTTCTTAAAAGGGTGGATTGTTACGACGCGTTGATAGGGATTTTACTACTCATGTGAATGCGATAAAAACTCCTATAATACTTGCAAGAATCACAAGGTTGTTGTAGTATAAACGAATCTCGCAAGGTCGTTCTCTACAGGGATTATTAAATAATTCGAACAAACCAAATTCCAATTAATTATTGTAAAGTAGAAATTGAGATGATTGATTTTATAATCTACTTAAATTAAAAACAAATTTAACTATTAAAGATAAGACAATCTGCAATATTAAAACTACAGGGAAAAGAAAACAGTTTTGGGAGAAATCAAATTAAGAAAGCACTAGGGTTCCACCATCACCTAGCAATCCTATGAACTTTTACCAATTACTTATGATCTACACATGCCACTTTGAAGGTTAGATTTTCCTAATTTATATTCTACTTGGAACCTCCAACATAGAACATATATCTAACATGTAACTCGTCCGGACGTTCAGATCAAATCTGAACATGAAAGACTCATTATGCTTTATGACAACCCTTTGAAAAACCATGCAACCCTTAAGACGTGGTGTTCATCCTAAGTGAAATTACAATTATTAATCACAAGAAGCCAACGTCAATTTCAGGGAACCTTCCGACCAAAATTGCATCAAATTACTTTTCTAAAGATCCTAATGGTGATCAGGCATTAAGACAATTAGATAGTTTTTATCCCGGTGATTAACAATTCAAAGTATGCATGCAATCAATCATAAGCACTTAAATAAAAATCACATATTCATGCTAAGGCTCAAGGCTTCGCCCTAGCAAAAGAATTTAGTTACGCATATTCATAATTGAAATCATAGAAAATCTTACTAAGAAAAGGATTGAAAACACCTTAGAGTAGAAAATCTCCAAAACCCTAG